AGAAAACTCACTCTCCCTCCCTTGGAATAATTTCTTTGGTCTGTCTTGGTGTCCTACCTAGGGCGAATTTGTTCATTTCTCCCCAGTAAGAGCCACAGAATGCTTAGGCTGCCCTCAGACCCTCACTATTTGACCCTAGCTGGCCTAGAACTCATTGTTCTCCTACCTCAGCCTCTCCAGTGCTGAAATTACAGGTGACCACCATGCCCAGCTTCTAGTGCAGTTCTAGAAGGTACAGTGAGGAAGAGAAATAGGTAAGCTTAGAGCAAAAATACTTTGAACCTCTTAGAAATGAACATAAAGCTCTCAAATGATCTCTTTAAAACTGTTCTTTTTTTTAACTTTCAGAAATATATGGATATTATAAAATGCAAATTCCTACTGTTGCTAATGAACGCTCCCACACAAGTTCTATCATTTAGTGTGGAAGTAAATTGAAAGGCATGCTTTTGGTTCCCCAGCTCCTTGTCCTCTTCCTGTCACATGAGGCATGCCAGAATAAAATTATGAAGGGCAGAGGGAGAAAACATAAGTTTTGAGATGGATAAAGAGTATTAAAAAGGAAAAGGCCAGTTGTGGCAACAGCTAGTTAATTATGGAGCAGTGAACATGCTAGGCACTGTAGTGACTGCAGAACCTCCTTTTAGTCTGATGGCTAACCCATGAGTTAAGAGCTGTGAGTCTGCTTATTTATAAGTGAGGAAACCAAAGCAGGCAATAAGCTGCCCCAGCTCCTGCCAGAGCTGGATGACCTCTGATCTGAGAGAGGGAGTTTGCATCATGCTTATAATTAGGCAGAGCTTTAATTTCATTTCACGGTGTAAACTAACAATACCACAAGCAAAAGTATTGCTTGGAACATTATTTTGTAGTTTATTCTGTGTGAAATAAAGCATACTTGAAGCTTGCTTTCTCTTCCTGTTTCTCTACTCTTTTGTGCATGTGCTTGAATGTGTGTGTGTGCACATGTGTACATGAGGATGTGTGTGTGTGCATGAATGAAGGCCATGAGTTGACATCAGATCTTTTTGTTGTTCCCACCTCAACTTTTGAGATGGTCTCTCACTGAACCCTGTGCTCACCAGTTGGCCAGAAAGGTCTGAGGGTCCACCTGTCTCTGGTTTCCCTGTGCAGGGTTACAGATGCATATAGTCACACATGGGTTTTTAAAAATGTGGGCACAGGGGATCTGAATTCAGGTCGTCATGCTTGCAGGGTAGGCACTTAATGGACAGAGCCATCCCTGCAGCTCATCCCCTATTCTTCCCTATTTGTGATAATAAGGCTTCTCTCCCTTCCCTGATCTATCAGTGATATGGAAACTTGCAATAGGACAGTGCTAATAGTCACTTCTATCAGTTTAGATTACAGCTCTAAGTGCTAAGCAGAGAACTAGAACACCACACCATTTAAAATCCTAAGCCATAATTAGACATATTAATCACAAAGAAAGCTATAAAAGAGCGACAACCTTTGAAGTACATCTGAAAATGTAACTGCGGTATTAAAATTATGGCCCAAGAAAATGTCACTTCTGAAAGTGTTTCCTAGTGGATAAATGTGGCTCAGAAATGTGACACCAGTCCTTTTAGCTACACTAGCTGTATTATTCCTTTTACTGTTTTCCTAAGAAAGCAGCCATTGCCAGTTTTCTGTTTTTTTACCTCAGTCTACAACCAGCTTCATGCACTCTGCCTCCCATTCCACCCCCTCAGTAAATTATACTAGTCTACCTCTAAAGATGGCGTCTTGTGAATAATAGGTTCTATGATGCTTCAGTTTATCTTAGCCCTTCAGTTCACCAGTTAGCTAGCATTTGATAGCCCATGCCCTCTAATCACAAGGTCAGGCTGCCAATAGATTCCTGATAAGCTCAGCTTTGCGATATGGTGAATGCTTTCATCTGGTAACAATGAACGGTACTTTGTCACTTCATAATGGCTTCCCCGTGGCTAGAATGGCCTTTTCATATGATCTACAATAGTAGTCTCCAAACTTCTTTGATCATGCACTCCCATCAGCATGTTTTTGGAAGGGCATATGTGTATTTGTTCATGAAACAGGCATGAATTAACATCATCATCTTATGACTCTAACAATATATAATTCCAAGTAGGCTAAGATCATTGCTATGGTGCTGGATATAAATTACATTTCAAGTAGCTTTGACAATTTTACTTTTTAGTTAAAATTTGGTTGCATTTATTAGATTGTCATTTTATCTCTAAAATAGGGTTGCCAGAGATTTGCTTGTTGTTTTGTTTTTCCTTTGTAAGGTCATTTGTTTGTTTTGTGCTTAATTAAACCTAGATAATATACCCATTGAACCCACCAAACACAGGAAGTCACAAGGTTGATCTGATTTCTTCTGCCAACCTCTGGGAGTGGGTGCTTCCTGCTTTTCTCTGAGGACAGCCATGTTGCTCTAGGCCAAGGGACCATTCTGCGGACTAAGTGCAAGGCCATTCATTCTGTATATAAGATATTGATCTTAATGCCTTTTAAAGCATAAATAGACATCTTCATTATCTTTTCCCTCTGCATCTCAAATGGATTGCCTTGTACTGTCTTTCGAGTACATGAACCTATGCCCGGGATCCATAGACCTCCTTATGAAATTATTAGTCCAGAGAAGATATGCGCACACAGGCAAGGCTGTTTCCATTTTAAAAGACCTGCTCATTTCAGTTGCTCAGCCATTTTATAGAAAATGGAATGACTTTGAAATGAATTGTCTTTATAGAGATCCATAATTTGCAAGCAAAATCCTCACTCTACAAAATGTGAAATGTTCTAAGCAACAGCTGTGAGCATTCCAAACGTGCACTACTTTTTAACAGTTCAACTGTTGCCAAGGGAAATTGATTTGGCTTCGAAATCGCTCTTGGTTTTAATTTTGCATTTACTCTCAACCAGAGATTGAAGAAACAGGTTCTGCTTGGCTGGGATATTGAAATTTTCTGAAAATTGAGGTATGGAACTAGAAGTTGCCTGAAGGTAGGCACTAGGCTAGAATTCTGTCGTTTTACGAGGCCCCAGGTAATGAACTTTTATCACAGCAAAAATGGACACTAGCCCTGCAGGGGCAGCAGTCTGGAGTCAGTAGGGAGAGCCTAGCCCGATTTCCTTTAAGTTCCATGTTTCCCATGAGTTCAGAGCTGTAGCATTTTTATCTTACGGCACAAAATTCTTCTACCAAGTAGACAGAAATTTGCAAATGAGTTTTGAAAACCACAAAGGAGAAACACAAATGCATTTGTTATCATTTGTGCATATGGTACATGGAGCTTTATTTATATGCATGTTCCCTAACTGTTCGGAACACATAATGGTGAAGGGGAAAAATGAGGCTACAGAGCAATGCATGCTAATTTGAAAGGGAATCCAAGTGTAATGTAAAAAGATAATGCTGTAAGTACATCAAAATGACAAAGTGGTTATCTGTGGATTGATGGATTATGAGTATTACTTTATCCTCTCACTTTTCCAAATTTTGAGCAACTGTTTGTTGAGCTTGTAGACAGCATTAGGCATTTCTTTTTCTCAATAAATGTATGCAGCATGTATTGAAAACAGATTGACAGTCTAATTCTCTGGACTAGGTAGGGCTCACCAACGATGCAAAAACACCTATGCAAGTATTTTAACCCTCGTTCAGGATGGAGTTAAGTCTTCTCTATAAACTCTTTCAGATCCCACTTGTCACCTAAGATTTCCGAAGCTTGGGTCTGGGTCTTTCGGAGCCCCAGCGAATGCGGGTGATGGGAACGCAAGGATGCAGAGCTAGGGGTCATTGTTCCCATTTGGATAAGCTACGCGAGCGCCGGCCTCAATCAGGTAGGCAGAGCTTCCAGGAGCATACATTCAAAACCGACGTTCTGGGAGCTGAGAGAGCAGGGCAAAGTCCAGCCAGTGGCCAGGCTTCAAGGGACGCGAAGACCCGAGTGGCACAGAGGCGCAGCGGGCCCGCGTTTCTCTCCACCCAGCCCGGGGGGCTCTGCCGCTGTGGCCCTCAGAGCCTGCGGATGAGGAGCACAGATCGAACCTCCGGATAAGGAGCATCGCCGTCCCCTCTTGTCTCTGACGTGGCCGCCGCGCTCCTCCCGGGATCAAGGCGCTCCTCTCAGGCCTAACGGACACCGAGACTTAGACTGGAGACTCCAGGGCGGAAGCGGCGGCCTCGCGGCCCGAGCTCGCGGCTGCATCCGGGTCCCCGGCGCCCCGGCCCAATCTCGGGCCTCGTCTCTTCCCACCTCCCGTTTCTCCGCCCCCCCGCCGCCAATCCCCGATCAGCTCTCAGCCGAACATGCTGGCAGGGGAGTGAAGGCGCGCGCCGGCCAATCAGGTCTCGCTTCCCGTTTGAAGTCTCCAGTGGGCGGGCGCCGGGGGCGGGCGCTGCCAGCCAGGAAGTTCGGTTGCGCGTGTGCCATGGACTCAGCCGCCCGGTGATATTGACAATAGGAGAGAGAAAGGGGCATTGACGGGGATTTAGCGCGGGTGGCGAACGGCGGCTCTGGCAGCGGCGGCTCCGGCTTCGGCGGCTCCTTCTCCTCGTCCCGACTCCTGTGGCCGCGGCCGCTGCGGATCCAGGCTTCCTCCCTCCCTTCCCCCCTCCCCTCGTCGCCGCCGCCGGGTCCGGTGCAACAAGCAGAGGCGCCGCCCGCCGGGAATGTGAGCGAGGAGCCGCCGGCCGAGCCGCAACGGGGTCGGTGCCGATTTGATGGGACGGACCCGCGGGGGAGGATCGTGAGGCCGCCGCCGCTGCCACTGCCGGAGCGCTGAGGTTCGGGGCCGGCCG